TAGACTGGAGCATGTGCACCGGTACAGATAAGAGCTCTCGACACACAGCGTCCAGGATAGATAAACCCCTCAGGACCAATAATGAGAGTAATGATACCACGAGGGTCGGGAGAAGGTGGGGGAAATCGATTGCAATGATCAATGTCCAACCCTTCCCCAGGTGGACGAACACCAGAAACATAGGTGAAGGGAGACAGCGGACAGTGTAAAATATGAAAATAAAAATAATTTATAAATTATCATGGGTTCATGAGGGTAGAAGGGTGGGGGATGTAGGGGAAAAAACAGGAGCTGATACCAAGGGCTCAAGCAAAAAATTATTTTGGAAATGATGATGACAACATATGTACAAATGTGCTTGATACAACTGATGCATGGATTGTTATAAGAGTTGTAAGAGTCCCCAATAAAATGATTTATTAAAAAATGTTTTAAAGAACACTATTGTTATTCTAATGAAACTCAGAAAGGAAGTTTCTTGTAAATTCTAAAGAATTGGTACTATATTTGCCTAACTTGGATTTTAATGAATATTTTTTAAAGGAATGGCAACCATCATCATATGCATACTAAACTCTCATCTGACCATTCTGTTCTTACTGTAGCTTACAGTGCTAATTTGTGAATAAAAGATGCAATGGGGTTCAGGAGGGGAGCCCCCTCTCCACCCCAGTGTCAGGGGCAAGGCCAGAGGAGGAGGGGTCCCCGGCACGGGTGGGGGCGCTGCTCCAGGCAGCAGGGCTCTGCGTGGGCTCAGGCGCTATCTGAGAGCTTCCAGGTGGAGTCGTGCTCGTCCCACTGGCTTCATGAAACATCTTAACCAATTCATAACGGAAACATCTTACGGTGCTTCTGAACAGGTGCCAGTCTCCAAAATTCATATTCATCTCTTTCTTCAGTTCATCAATGTTACACTGAGCTAACACACGGCCGTTTATATTTGCCTGAGTAAAATAAGAATGAAAAAGGCAAGTATGAACTATCTGGGGTTAGTAGTCATTTTACAAGTATATTTTATTTAGTTTTAAGAAAGCCGTTAGAACTCAATGCCATCGTGCTTGACCCCATGGACGGAAGCACGGTTGCGATGAGAGCTGTGCAAGCCCCACAAAGTCGCTAAGCAGTAACAAAAAGGGCTCAATGCCATCAAGCGGATGCCGATTCACAGCGGCCCTGCAGGGCGGCTAGAAGTGCACCTGCAGGGCGCCCAGACTGCCCCTCTTCATGGGAGTAGGAAGCCTCACCTGGATTAGCACATGGTTTTCATCTCCTGTGATAAGATCATAAACAGGACGAATTTGAACAACACAAGCCCCTCCAGACTGTTTCCAACTATCTGAAGCAGCCGGAAAGTAACAAACCACTCTTGCGAACTCAATCCAGAACTCGCCCTCCCCAAGTATTTCCAAAACGGCTAGCCTTCTTTCTTTCAAGTGTGAACATGAAAGCAAGTGAGATGTAAGAAAATGAATGCCGTTAGAAACCTTTCTGAGAACTACCAGTTAAGACTAGCAAAAGCAAAACTACTTATGCTCATAATTCTTTCGAAATGTCTCTTGGGCGGTGTTCTTTAGTACAGAAATATGAGAGCCCTTATTATGTTCCTCTTTTCTATCGTGTTTTTAACCCAAACTCAAAACTCACTGCCATTGAATCAAGGGTGGCTCACCGCGTCCCGTGGAAGGCCAAGGCCGTACGGGAGTAGACGCCCCTTCTTTCTCCGGCAGAGCTGCTGGTGGTTTATGAACTGCTCTTAGCAACCCATGTGCAACAAAACACTGCCCGTCCTGTGCCACCCGCCCAATTGTCATGCTCAAGCCATTTTTGCAGCTACTGAATCAATCCAGGGCCTTTTTGGGTGCCTCCCCACCCCCACCCCCATCGCTGACACTACCAAGGATGATGTCCTTTCTCCAGGGGCCTCTGCTGATAACATATCCCAAGCACATGAGGCGAAGTCTCACCATCTAGCTTCTAAAGCACATTTTGACTGTACTTTTTCTAACACAGATTTGCTGGTTCGACTGGCAGTCAAGGGTGTATTTAATATTCTTTGCCAAGACCATTCAAAGACAACAGTTCTCTGGGTTTCTATATTCATTGTCCAGGTTCACATGCATATGAAGCAACTGAGAATACCATGGCTTAGATCATGCACACTTTGGTCTTCAAAGGGACAGCTGCACTTTGCACATATTTATTAAAGAGGACCTTTTGGCAGCACAGTTGCCCAATGCACTGTCGTCTGATTGCCTCTCTCCTGCTTCCAAGTAAAATGAAGCCCTTGACAACTTCAGCCAATCTATGTTCCACCTGTCACGCCGACCACTGGGCCAGTTGTGAGGATCTGTTCCTGATGTGGGCGTGAAATCCACAGTGACTCTTCTCTTTCAGTAAGCAAGGGTGTGCCGTCAGCCCGCTGCAGGTCATTAATAAGCCATCCTCCAACCCAGAGGCTGCATTCTTCTCGAGACAGCCCTGCTTCTGGGAATATGTGTTTAGTATACAGATTGAGTAAGTGTCGGAAAAGGATACAAAATCCTGACGCACGTCTTTCCTGGTTTTAAACCATGCAAGCACTAAATCCTTGTTTTGCCTCTTAGGAAACATCTTTCCGGTTACTCTCTGCTGTCAGCCAAGATCCCTCTGTCGTTAGCAACAATAGCCCCGTTCTACAGCTTCTGGGCCCAGTTTGAATCTGACAGTCACTTGTCAATGTACTGTGACGGATGTTTTTTATTTATTTATGTTTTAATTATCATCAGTCAAGTTTTACTTGCATGTGATGTTATTGATATTGATCATTTCCAAATTCCCGTGGATCGTCTTTCTTTGGAATGGGCACGTATATGGATCTCTTCTGGATGTTTGGCTGGGAAGCTGTCTTCCCAGTTCTGTGGCATGGACTGTGAGCGCCAGCGGCACTGCCTCTCGGGTGCCGGTCCAGCCACTCCTGAACGCCTGCTTTCCACCAGCGCCTCCAGTGCACTCAGACTTCCTCCTCAACACCCTCGGGGCCTGATCACAGCTACGTCCTGAGACGCGTGCATGTCGGCCAGCGTTTCATGGTCCCATGACTGTGTAGTCTTTACGACTTTTTCTTACCCCGACATAAAAAGACTACCGACTGTAACTGGCCTCAGAAGGAACCGTGTACACAGACGGCTGCCCTCACCACGCCAGGCCTCGCTGTGCAGTCTTGTGCTGGCTATCCAAACCGCAAGAAGAGGTCCAGGAGAAAACGAAGCTCTTCACACACAGTCACCTAAGCCCATCTCTTCACACACAGTCACCTAAGCCCATTAGCTTTCATCAAGGGTCAGCATCATCAGGACTCCAAGAATGAAATGAGGCTCTGGGGGAAAGGAAGTGAAGGAGGTTTCCTCTGATGATCACTAAGTCGTAACGAAAGAAAATATAAAAGGCTTCCTTATGCTCCCTTTGGAAAGAGGAGTTATTCTTAACCCGAATGTGACCTCCTCGGACCACTCCATTCCTCAGCATGACATGCTAAAGCAGCCATTACATCCACTGCCACTGAGTCTATTCCAACTCATAAGGACTGTGCACAGGGTGGCTGAGGTTAGGACTCTGGGGAAACAGAGAGCCTCGTCTTTCTCCTACAGATCAGCTGGCAGTTTGAAATGCCCACCTTGTAATGCTCACTCAAGAGCATCACCATTTAAAACACAAACGCTGCAGCAAGCGACTTTATTTCCTTTACTCCTATGTGAATAAAGGCCAACATGCTATTTTAGGATCGAAAATAGTAAGAATCCTGTTTCCATTTCTCACGGCCCCTCCGCCCGGCCCACTGCGGGGCGTGCCAGTGGCACATCACCTTTTTGATGGTCGCACAGTACTGAGGGAGCACACTCTGGTCCAGGCCTTCGATTTGCCGCAGCCTCTCGCACACTGCATCCACAGTCATGGAACTCAGGGCGACGACGGGTCCAGAGGGTGGGCCCGACCCCTAGATACATTTGGTGAAAATACATGAAGAACATTTAATGCTTGCATATGAGGTCACGTGACAGAAAACCCTCATGAAGTTATTACTAAGAAGTACCGATTCACAAAACATTGAACATTATACTAAAAATAGTAAATGTAGTATGGTAAGGAAATGTCGTTATACACCATTTTATTACTATAAGCATCCACTCTTACTAAAAAGCTGTATTAAGAAGCTACCTTTGAATTTAGTGATGACTTACAAACACGAACCATGCTGCTGACACTGCAGTTTCGCTGGTTCTTTGAGGACCTGGAGCGCGTGTCCCAGGCTCAATGCTCAGGTCTGACAGCTGGTACCCAGCTGACTCTCTTCTAGGAAACCCACCGCCCATCACTTTCATCTCCCGGCTGGAAAAGCCTGCCCTACCCTGACCTCTCAGCATAGTCTAATGTCCTCATGTTGCCTCACGTTCACACAGCAACTTGTCAGAAATATCATGTACAGAGGGCTATGATTTTTAAAACTGCTAAGTAATTGAAACTTAGCTATGGCAGCTTTTAAGTATTTGAAAACTAACATATTTGAAACCAAAACAACCCAGTAATTTTATGATGATTCCTAATCATTCAGTTTTCCAAGTGTTTAAAGTATCAGTTTCCCAGAATCAGCATTCTCTTTCCCTGGGACTATAATGACCAGCCGGCCCAAAGGGCTCACATTCCTATCTGCCTTTTTTTACTTCATTTTTCATCTCAAATTTTGTATTTCTTTCCTTAGTCATTTCTGTTAATGTTTTAATAGGATTACTGCAGTGCAACCCATGTTTTTGAAAACATGCTGGTATTTTTCATTTAAAATTAACTTCTTACATACATTCTGCCTGGGTGAGTATATCTAATATTCCAAGTATTAATGATTCACTATTATAGAAATTTAAAATTGTTTCTGTGCAGCTTTAATAATCATATCTACTTCATCTTTTCTATCTTAAAACACATAATCAACAGCGATTCATTGAAATTGCTCAGATGTTGGGCAGCTCATTTCTGTCATCCAGTAGAAGAGGAGGCCATCCCTTTCCCAGTGACTCCCCATTCTGCCTGACACCCTCCCCGCCCCCAGCTCTGTGCAAGCAGCTGCCTACTGTCTGTGGCTCTGCCTGCTCTGGGCCTCTCACTGCGAGGGAGCCCGGCACTAGGTCACCTCTTCTGTCTGGCCTCTTTCCCTTAAGCCCATAGTACAGGCTTTACCAGTGCTTCATTGCTTTTTCATGGATGCAGAATCTCTCTTTCCAATGACTTGGAATTCTTTCAAGTGCTTTTATTCTTCCAACAGTCACCTCTCTCTGGATACATTTATTTATACATGTTTATATAATCGGTTCAAAAATCACGATAAAAACCACTGGAGCAAAGCTGGATTAGAATCAGTGAACAGTTTCATCAAGTACTAAATTAGGATTAACGATGCACAGAAAACACGTGTACAAAAATCTTTTCCTTGCAGAATTCTAATTCATAAATGCAGAAGAGGGAAACAGAAAATCATGGTCAGGCAAAGGACGCCATCATAATGGCTGCAGAGAAGATGCATGGATGGAGAGATGCTCAGATCAGTGAATACAAGTTTAAGTGGAAATGGGGCATTTGCACAGTGTCAAAACATCTCCCCAAAGATCACCACCAAGGGAAAAGTCAGACGCGCAGAGTGTTGACTGACCCAGCAGCCGGCACCTCTACCAGGTGCTCAGAGCCATCATTACCAGTGTTAAGGAAGGTGAGTATCAGGAACACTCTGATGTGGCGCCCTGAGTAGGGGAAAAAAATATCAATTCTGTGGCCTTCTTACCAGAGATGTATAACCTCCTGCTAATCATGAGAAGCTCAAATTGAGAGGCATACAAAATAACTGTGTTCTTCAAAGATGCTAGTTAAAACACGAGACAGAAGGGAAGACTGAGCAACTGGGAGGAAGGGGAAGAGGAGGGTAAACTAAATGAAACTGGATGGGCCCTTGGACCAGAAAAATGACATCAGCAGGAAACGGCTCAATCTCAGATACAGCCTGTAGTAGGAATATGGATTCCATTCCAATGCTACCTGAAGGGAATGTCATTACGCAACCTGAAGTCTAAAATTATTTTAAACGCCTGCTCTTTAAAAAAATCAGAAAGACATTGTTTATGATTATGCTACAAAGGACAAGCATAACAGACATGGCCAGATCTTTTATGAGGGGAAATGTAAAATATTAGAGTATCTTGTTTCCATGGAGATTCTGAGAATTCTGTGCTAGATATTTCAATAGCATTGAACTTCCAAACCAGGCTCACTGCCATCCATTCAGTCCAACTCTTAAATCCCTTGTAAGGACAAAGGACAACTACCTACAGGGTCTCCAAGGCTGCCTATCTGCCCTTACACTGCTATCCTTTCGATTAACAGCTGAACGTTGTAGCCATATCTAATGAGAGCAGTACAAACCAACTAAATCTTAGTAACAAAACCTAACTTTTTTGGATGGAAATCTCATATAGTGAGGGGAAAAAAGACAAGGAAATAGCAAAATGTATATTCAATAGTTCAATGGATAAATTCTTAATAGAAAATGAGTTATATTATTTGGAGAATAAGCTGATAATTCAAATCATAATTTTTAGACATTACCGTGCATGTTTACTTAAAATTTACCTGTGAGAACAGATAATTTCAGCACACATCAGATTTTATTAAAAAGAAAAAATGTTTTTTAAATGCAGAAAAGGTTAGTTTGTTTACATTGTTAAATATAAACTTCAAAATATAGACAAACTAGAAATTTCTCTGGGTGAAAATAAAGCTAAGACAACAATGAAATTAATAGCTCAGAATTAATTAGCCAGAAATGAGGGCCATGCAAAGGCTGAGCGCAGCTTTGATGAGATAAACCCGAGGCTTCGGAGCGAGCGTAAGTTTACAAACAGCCCAGCACGAAGCTGCCAGCGAGCCATCTAAAATGCTCTAACAAAGAAGCGAACAAAGGTCCATGGGTGAGGTCTGTACCTGTCTCTGTTTGTTAAACCCAGAGGCAACCGGCTTTACGGAAGGAAGGAAACAGAATGAAGGACACGAGCTTCAAATGCAACAGCAGAGACGTGTTACTGGACATCACAACCCCAGGCAGCCCTCAGCAGTCACCTCATCTCCAATCACTCTAAGGAACTACGTGTACAGCCTAACAGAGCAATCATACCCACACACAGATTAACTTCATTAATATGTACTTGGTAATTTAAAAATTACATTCTTAAATCTTACATATTCTATTAAAAACAGCATCATGGACCACAAATTCGACAAGAAAACCAGGTATATCAAATGTGCTAGGAGGAGTCAGTGGTCCCACTACACCTACGTTTGAAATTAACTTTAAAACAACATTTTAAAATTAGTCAATGTTATAATAAGGCATGCTTACTCAGTCTATCACATGACCATTTCATAAAAAAGCATTATGTAGACACACTCTAAGTTGATGTTAAGGAGCCAGAAGAACCTGGGTTTCACTTCCTTGGGTAGCTGGTGGACCGGGGATGCAGTGAGAACATTATTTCAAAAGCAAGGCCTTCACACTACAGCTTCCAAAGCCAGAAAGATAACGCTGGAAATACCTGCATACGACGACTACCGTAACCACGCGATCGAGACAGTTTTAAACCTCAATTCAAAGCAGCCGGCCACTGTTGTTAATTATTTTTGTGGACCTATTAGATGGGTGGTAGTCTTAAAATAACCTTAAAATTAACACTATTGTTTCCACGTTACTTTGCAACAGAAGTAGGTGGTGTTAACCTAACTCTCCTTTTCTCTGACCTTCATCACTATTTACAGTATTTCATCAGCGCTTACTTGGGCACCACCTAACTAAAAGGAGAAGATTTCATGGGAACTTCATCCTCTATGATCAAACTTACTTATATGTAGTCTATTCTGAAACCCTGTGTACAGTAAGTCTGACACTAGAGCTGCAAAGACTTGAAACACGATTGCAGAAGGAGGCTAAGGAAATCAGGTTGTTACAAGAGCGCCCAACCTACTGGGTAATTTAACTTTGTCTTCAAATCAAGGAACATAATAATTAAAGCCAACGGGTAGGGTTTAGCACTGCATGAACAGCAATAAAAACACAAGTACTAAACGACGACAATAAATTTGATTTTTAAAACTAACTTTGTGCTGCAGGATTTCAATGATATCATTACTGGGATAGCATTTCTGTGAAAACATCCCAATTTCATCTTCAAAGGAGAACTCAAGCGCCCTCACTCCTTACCCATGGCAGCCGAAACCTTCTCGTCCAGGTCTTCTGAACAGCAACGACAGTTTAGTTTGAAACAAGTTGGAGCCAGTGGTGGAAATCAAACACACTACAGTCGGTCCCCCTCTATCTTACATGGTATTTGGTCAGCCCACAAGCTGGACCCTGTCCTTCCTTCTTAGTATCCTGATTAATTTAGTCGTTTCCATTCATCTCTAAGTAAAGGTTATATACCGTAAACCAAGAACCAACCTCACTGCGTAGAGTCGGTCTAACTCATGGTGACCCTCCTGCACTGGGTAGAACTGCCCTGTGGGTTTCTGAGACTGTAACTTACAGGAGTCGAAAGTCTCATCTTTTTCCCATATCACTGCCGGTGATTTCATACTACCGATGGACTGACTGATCAGTCCAACACATAACCACTAGGCAACCAGGCCTACTAATGGCTACACAGCAGACAGGACAGCAGGCTACTATATAAGCACTGTCTTTTGAAGGTTGAGCTTTTGTACAATTAAACGTTGTGCTAATCACTTCTTCATGCCATCCCAATGAGGTGCAAAAGTGATCTACATAAAGCTATCTACAAGGTATTAAAGGATGACTTAACAGTGCAATCATGCATAAAATCCCCTCGATGGAGGGTCTCCTGGCTACATCCCATTAGTATAATGCCTGGGAGAATCAAAGTAAGTATTTGTTGAACCAATGAATAAATCACACACTCTATAATATATACATAACTAAATAATTAAAGGAAGGATAAATGGTTTAAAAAAAAAAAAAAGCTCTGACTGCCTCCTCTGACAAGCCTTTTCAATGAAACACACATACTGCCCTGAGCAGCGGGTGGGCAGGCCTGAGATAAGAACAGACCACAGTTCTCCTGGTGTCCATGGGGAGGCGGGCCCTCCACGGACTTTCCTGCTGGCCAGAAGGTGGGCCAGTGGAGGCCACCAGGAGGGTCCTCAGAAGAAAGGCCTAGCATTCTGCTTCCGAAAAACTCAGTCCAGGACAATCCTATGGGGCAAAATTCTACTGTGACACGCAGGGGGCCCTCATGAGAAGGTGACTGGGCCCCAAGTTGCTCTTTACTCCAATAGTCAGTACCTTCAGTATGCTAAGGCTGCATAATCCTTAAACCAGACCTTTATATAGGTCTGCATTCTTTATGGATGAGGACATTAAGAATCAGAGAAGCTAAGTACCGCATATACTCGAGTATAAGTAGACCCGAATATCAGCCGAGGCTGATTTTACCACAAAAACGGCAATAGAAATGTGCTAAAAAACTCTGGAGAGTCTTCACAGGGGCGGGGGTGGGAGTAGGGGGAGGAAGAGAAGCTGCAGAGCCAGGATTCTCTCTGCCTTTGCTGCTTTTACACCTCAGAGCTCTCCTGGCCCCTTTCTAAGAAGGCTTCTCCGTGCCAGAGGGCAGAGCCTCTCAGCAGCAGACTGGGTCTCTAGTCTCACAGGACATGGCACGTGTACAGTCAGAGTGACAGAGCCAGCATGGAGACCCATCGTCCCCATACTTGGACACACCTATCATTTACCTGAGACATTCCTGGCTAGGCAATGCAAGCTAGAATCATCACAGGTTTCTGAGTGAGAAAAGATCCAACTATTTTCCTAAGAGTCTGCTTTACACAGATTTCCCAGGAACTCAATGTGGAAAAAAATAGGGCCCCAGCTTTCCTGATGATGATGAGTCTCTACTACAAGACAAGAAAACCCTGGAAGCCACTAAGGACGACAATTTTTCATCAGCTGTCTCTATGTGGGTTTCAGCGATCAAGCCCCCAGCAGATGTACAGAGTGTTGCTGTTTGGGGCCAGTGAGGGGAGTCCCGTTCCCTGCATGCAGCCTCCCGGGACAGAGCTCTCTCAGGTACCATCTCAACAGAAGCTGACTGCCAGGTCTTTGGCCCCCCTGGAAACACTGGGAGGACTCGCACTGTCAACCTCTCTGTTAGCAGCTCAGCACTTAACCATGCACTGCCTGAGCTCCGACTATCAAGTGGAATTTAAACTACTTAGTTTACTAGTCATCTGCGAGTCTGACCTGCTATTATGACGTTGCATTTCCTGGAAGCAAAGAACGGTGGTGAGCAGGTCGCAGAACTGCTCGTCAGTATGAAAAGGACAGCCAGAGCATGGCTATGCTACTCGACAGAGGGACTGTCAGCCCCGTTGTTAGGCCTCAACACACTTCTCAGGACGACATCACCCCCCCTTCCTCAGACACTCAGGCGAGAACTTGCCCGGTGAACCTCTAAGCCGACACAGAGACACTGCCAAACTGCCACCGAGTCCCTTCTGACTCAGAATACGGGAAGGACCGTACCTGGGACGGTTTCTGAGACTACCCATCTCGACAGGAGCAGACGGCCTGCCTCACTCCTTGGAGCGGCCAGAGAGTGTGGGGCATCAGCAGGCCAGCGCTCGGCTCACAGCCCACGAGAGCACCTTGAGAGAGACTCCAGCTATCTTTTCATCCCAAGTGCCCACTGGCCTTCCTCAGCACATCTGTGTCATTAAGATGATCAGATTCTTCACGGTACCTGGTTTACATCAAAAGTTTGCCAAAAATGTTCGCTCAGAAGCACACTGCCGCATGAATCTGTGCATTTCTGAGAGGCTCTCAGACTGGACTCAAAGCCATTCTTGCATTCAGTGTCAATGATCCACGGATTAGAGATTCTCTCAACACTCAAACAGAACAACGATGCTCACTCTGTCTATCCTTCGTGGATCACTGAAGTCTTCCCACCTTTCCGCTGAAATGCCAGTGGTTTAAGAGAACCACCGACCTTAACTGGGAACACCTCTCCTTCCTAACCCTGACTCAGTGAACCACCACCACCACAAGCCCACTCGTCTCACCCCCTCGTGTGGAAAGAACTGCCCAGGACCACTCAAAGTTTACCGGAGCAGCAAGCCTGCTCTTTCTCCCAGGGAGCAGCTGCTGGTTTTACACTGCTGACCTTGGGGTTCGCAGCCCAGCTCGTCACCGTTCCACCAGGGCTCCTCGACTCAAAGTCAGGTTGAAAGTCTTTCTTCCGTCTGATCAAGTGCACGCATGCCGTTTACAATATATGGATAAACTCAAGTTGTGACAGTTTACTACACTGATTGTAACTATGCCACATTTCAGCATAGTTTTAGATTAAGTTGATCACATTTACATAGGAGAAACATTCTGTAACTCAATGAAAATTAAAATATAAATTGGGCTTTAAATCCCATACTGAGTGACAATATGAAGACTGTCTTTCTAAGTCGTTATATTAAATGGATTTCTTTTAAATACAAACTCCTGAATAATCACTTTACAGAGAGCAACTTACTGTGCAAGTGATCACTGTCTTTTTAGAACTCACCTTAGTGTTGGCAAACCAGGATCAGACAGTCCCCGTTCCCTGCTGAATGAACTTTGTTTGTATCTGCCACCTTTATTCTGACATACAGATTGAGACACACAGACGTGCGTTTACACCAAATTCTACCAGCTGTGAACGCCTGGAGTAAGGATTACTAAAGATGTATCTCTGGTTTACACAAGTAGCTTCTGTTGGGGGGGGGGGGCTTCATGGGCAATTTTGGATATTTCCAAGAATATTCTACGTGTGTGGTTCCACTCCAGGCCTAAGGACCACAATTCCAGCTGAGAGCAGAATGCAACAAAGAGGCCTGAACACCACCGCGAATGCTCCCTTTGGCTGCGGAAGGAAAGAATGCTTTCCTTGTTGTGGAACGAAAACCACCACACACAGCCTTTGTCAAGGAACTGAAAAGGGGGGAAAGCAGCAAGAACTAGAAGGTCAAGTTAAAATATTAGCTTTTTAGTGAATTAATTCATCAACTATCATTATTTGCATCCAGCTGCTCTACAGTAACTGCCGGCACACCGGGGATGCAGAGTTAGTGGACTGGTGTCATCACAGTTAAGGGGGTCCCCCCTCGCTGCTGCGGAGGCAGCGGGTGCTAGAGCCCACACCACGAGACTACTCCGTTACCCTCGAGGAGTCTGTGGGGGAGCAGAGGCCCTCAGCAGCATCTTCCTGGATAACTTCCTAACAACACAAAACAGGAGAGGAGCGTGGGTGAGAAGGGGAGGAGGAGCCCAACAGGACGATGCACGAGCACGGCGCTAACGTCGGCATACAAACACCGAGCACGCGGCCCAGATTTCCCTTTCAGTGACAACACTAACACTTGGAGCAGCAGTTTGAATTCTAAAGCTTTTGGTCTCCTATTTAATAAGAACACACTAACAGGAAATTTCTTTGTTAAATTGTCAAACAGAGTACAGGGAATTTCTTTGTTAAATTGTCAATAAAACGGAGTTTATCATGAAGAACATCTAGAAAGAAAATGCATTTTGCTTTGGATTAATTAGATTCAATAGTACATTAAATAATTTCCTTTTATCTTATTTAGTATCTATCATTAGAAAGAAATATTCTTTCAAAAACATCCCGATTTTTAGACTATATGGCTGACATATACACAGATACTATAGACATAAGTCCCATAAAAAAGGTAGTAGAAATTCACCCATATAAAGATGAGTTTAACAAGTTTTGGTCACAAATACTGTATCACTACAAGCCAGAAGCCTGGGACTGTAAACATTTACTCACTGAGGCTGCTAGTTGATTTCCTTCCATATATATTAACCCGAAATGAAGACAAATACAATTGTTGTTAGTAATAGTTTATGCATCTTATAACCACTTATAAAGTAAGTTGTACTCTTAGACACCGGAAAGGAAATAACCAGACTTCTAATGCTCTCTATGTTATTATTAGATGAATATATTAGTTACCCTCATATACTTACTAGGCCATTGTTCTGATCTCTGGGCAAATTCATTTTTATTGATGGACGTGAGATGAGATGTTGGGAACCGCCAGGGTAATACCGTGGCGTGTAAAGGTATGGGGCAAAGAATGGCTATGGAAAAAACACGTAACAAAAAAAGGGGGTAAACAATGACAGAAATCAAAGTATAATGAGATTTATCAAATGAAACTAAGCAAACCAACAAAATACAATACAAACTGCTTCATGTAGATGACAGACGAAACAAAGGGGGAACCTCACCCATCTTCCAGCAGGATAGCAAAACTGGACAGGAGATGCACCCTTCCATTTACACTGTTCCTTTAACATGGAGTGTTTAAAAGCAACTAACGTTTTACCCCTCACCATCTGACACAAAGAGCTTCTAGTTATTTAACAGTATTATCAGTTTACAATGTGTCAGGTTCTAAATAACTTAAACATCAACATGGTTTCTTAAAAAAAAAATAACGCAGTGAAATCCTAACAGAACACGATTCATAAGCAAAAGAAGATTAGCTTTAAGTAAAGAAAAAAAGGTCTCAATGCTATGAGACCAACTGCCAGAACACATTCTATGGGTCAAGTTACTATTTAAGTTCCTAGAGTTGATACTCAATAAGAAAGCTCAGTTTAAAAACAAGTGGGCAATAAATACACTGTTCCCATGGAAGCCATGACTACAGCGTTTATTTGCAATCAACTTCATGTCATCGGGAGACAGTCAATTAAATGGCATAAGCAGAATACTAAGTCATTATGCTCTGTTATACAACATCTTCTACTACCTTGTTTCATTCCTGATAATTTAATATAATTATTCTGCTTTCATCGTTAAGACTAAAAATACAGATATGGATAATAAAAATATAACTAACCTTAAAAACAAGAGAAAATGTAAAATGTTCTAGAAATAATAAAATTCTTCAAAATTACAACTGTTGCTGAGTGGCAGTAAGCTATTTCTGACTCCTAGCAAACGTGTCTGAGAGGGCACTCCTGCCCGCTCCCTGGCGATGCTAAGGGGGCGCTTCACCCAGCCTCTTCTCCTCGGGTGCTCCTGGTGGGTCCTAACTGCCCATCTGGAGGTAAGCAGGGAGCACGTGGCCACGGCCCCCAGGGGCTCTGAGAGCAGGCCTCACTGGCAGTCCTCCTGTTCATGGAGGGAGGGAGGGAAAGCCAGGTGTGTCGGGCTACGTTATCCGGTGATCTTTTTACAATAAATTTTGGTCTCAAGACTTCAATTGACAACTGATATTCAATGAAGCCATTTTATACAGAATTACAATAGAAATCAAATGGAAAACAAACCCTGCATTTCACACTGCTCACCACACAGTAACGTCCGGCAAGGATGGGACGTGTAAATGCGATTGTTCTACCTTTCTGTCCCTCCTTTTCAAGCAACAGAACAGAAAAACAATCACGGGCCTCTTTGGACGGTGTGCCTAATTACCTATGGGCCAACATTCTAAAAGACTGAAAATTTAATTTAAATTCTGGAGTTCATGATGGAATTTACTCAGGCAGACAGTTGTCATCCTGAATTCTAGGCACCGAGTTTTCTTAAATTAAGCTAAAGAGGAAGACAATAAAAATGAGAAATTGTAATGAACCTTTAAGTAGAGTTCTAGAATACTCCATGGAAGTATATATTGTCCTATAGGAAATACGAGTTTTTAAGTGAGAATAAATAGTTGGGGCTTACTGAACTTGGTAAAGCCTACACATCACTGATCTTTTAATGCAAGAGGTTATCATATTTATATGAAGTAAACAATTATACATTACTGGCGATAACCTGAAATAAAACCCTAGATATGGTCAATACTGCTATTATCTGGTAATAACATCTGAGTCATTACAAGCTATATGTCCCCAATAATTCCTTGTTTAGAAGATGAAAAATATATTAAGTATAGGCTTGTTGAACTACTAGCGTTTCGTTTACCATTGCTCCAAATACCAAGATCTGCCAATATACAAGACAAAGTTAATATACAAATGAAGAGTAAAATACATTCCTTGGAAACAGTACAGTCTCTGCGGACTCAGGAATTAACTTTATCAGGAAGATAAATAAAAGCCCCCAAATATCTCTAATATGTACTCTCCTGTGATCTAGGGCCCATTAAAATTCATAACTTTTTGATTTTTCTGGAAAAATAGTTTCAAATTTAGACTTCATATTTTCCCTGACTTTACAGCCATGTGTAGGTGTGAAGCAATGGAATCCACATGCAGAACATCTCTGATGCTTCACTGGAACAAACTTACTATCCCGACTTTCCTCGCCCCTCCCTCCCTCCCTCACTCACCCTGTTATAGAATGGGTGCTGAGGGCCCGTCAGGCCGCTGTAATAGCTGCTGTGTGGCTGTGGGGACACAACTCCAGCTCCAAACGGCCCATTGAACGACGTGGAGGAAGAGCACACTGATGGAGGCTGACTATACCCGGATGGGGGTCTGGGAGGAGCCTCGTGCAATGGTAGTGGGGGATAGGCAAGCCCCCCAATATTAATCTGGTCTCTGGCGGCACGAACGTCTAAAAGATGAAAGGATACACCACAAGACAGAAGAAAAGAAGACATTGTAATGAGTCCAAGGATCCCTTCCTTCTTCAGTTATTTGATAGACAAGGGATTCAACCAGTCTTACCAGAGATTCATATGAGATGAAGGATAAGACAGGAAATCGTAACCATTCCACAGACCTTCTTATAAGGAATGCTAGCTGCTTTGCATAAGAGCTTTTTCATCATTTGAAAAGTCTGGATTCTATCTTTCAGTTGTCAGATCTAATAATTTTCTCCAGGTTTCTTAAAAAATCATTTTATTGGGGGCTTGTACAACTCTTTTCACAATCCATACATCCATTGTGTCAAGCACATTCGTACATTTGCTGCCATCATTATTCTCAAAACATTTGATTTCTGCTTAAGCCCTTGGTATCAGCTCATTTTCCCCTCCCTCCCGCTCTCCCCTGCCTCACAAACCCTTGTTAATTTATAAATTATTATTATTGTGTCATGTCTTACACTGTCTGATGTCTCCCTTCACCCACTTTTCTGTTGTCCATCCCCCAGGGAGGAGGTTATATGTAGATCCTTGTAATCAGTTCTCCCTTTCTGCCCCATCTTTCTCAACCATCCCACTATCGCCACTCTCACCACTGGTCCTGAGGGGTTCATCTGTCCTGGATTCCGTGTTTCCAGTTCCTATCTGTACCAGTGTACATCCTCTGGTCTAGCCAGATTTGTAAAGTAGAATTGGGATCATGATAGTTGAGGGGTGGGGGTGGAGGTGAGGGACAGGAAGCATTAAAGAACTAGAGGAAAGTTGTATGTTTCATCATTGCTACACTGCACCCTGACTGGCTCATCTCCTCCCCGAGACCCTCTGTAAGGGGAAGTCAAGTTGCCTACAGATGGGCTTTGGGTCCCCACTCCCCCTCCTTCACAATGATGTGATTTTTTTTGTCTTTGATGCCATCGACACCCCGTGACCACACAGGCTGGTGTGCTTTCTCCATGTGGGCTTTGTTGCTTTTGAGCTGGATGGCCACTTGTTTACCTTCAAGCCTTTAAGACCCCAGACGCTATATCTTTTGCTAGCCAGGCTCCATCAGTTTTCTTCACCACATTTGCTTATGTGCCCACTTTGTCTTCAGCGATCGGATCGGGAAGGTGTTTCTTGATGTCTTTAAAGCATTTATTGATGGTACTCTAATATTTTTATGAGACTTGGCCATAGACAGGCTCGGTCTCAGAACCCATAGGGCAGTTCTACCCGGTCCTGCTGGGTCACGCTCCCTCCCAGTCAGCATCAACTCGATGCCAGTGAGTACCTCGAGCTGTGTGAGTAACTTTTTTTAAATCATTCATAAATAACTCAGATCTATCTCATATTAATAAATATTATGCTAGCGAAGACTTTGCGTGTTCAAACTATTTGAATTGTCCACCTCTGAGCCACCATAACAAATACAAAGTCACAAGCTAAACCTTTTGACATCAGCCATATGGTAAATATCAAAGGGTACTGTAAAACCGATTCAAGGCTATCTTTTCATAATTGCTGGAAAAACTTTGAAGTGGAATTCAAACACAAAGAACAAAGTACCGTATATACTCATTCATGAGCCGAGTTTTTCAGCATGTTTTTATGCATTTTTTTGTGGTAAAATTAGGTGCCTCGGCTGATACTCGGGTTAGCTTATACTTGAGTATATACGGTAGGTACTTTCATGCCTCTCTGGACAGTTACTACATTGAGAACAGAGGAATGCTTACGGAAAATTACAATGGATTGACATCTTTAAGACATGGCTGAGTTATAAAAAGAATTTGGCTTCAAGGTAAGGATTTAGGGTGTATGTGTGTGTGTATGGAGGGGGAGGTAAAGTGATAATAAAACAATTTTAATAACATTTTCTTAATATTCCAAAGATAACATTAAGATTCCTAATCCTAAAGCTCATTAAATCTTCTGTGCATTGTTTGGATCAATATTTCTTGTTGTTTATTTTAATGGAACATGAGAAACTTTATATAATTAAATTGGAAATATGAAAGCATTACAGGCTTTCAGATAGGGAACCCTAAAGTGACTACTAATGCCCACCTGCAATAATCTCCCGTAGTTTGGGGTCGAGGTTCACAGTGCACGGCAAAAAGGTCTTTACATCTCGAGCAACAAGGACTGGGGTCCTCGAGGACAAAAACACTTCAAAATTACGAATATCTCCATCGATTTCAAGGAGTGGCTCAACATCTTTTGTTGTGGGGATATTCTTTGATATTCTAGGAAAAGAAATAGATTTTAAAGATCATTAGTCTAATCATTAGAAAGGTATATTCTGCTTAGACCTTAAAATTTGTTTCTTATACAAATACACAATACATCTTATTCTCCTTTAAAAAGTAAAGTTAAATGTTACAGAGTTACTACAGTGAAAATCATGCTCTCTTTAGCCAACGGGAGGCTAAAGGCATAGGACCGTCATTCAGTGAAGATCAGGGAGTTACTTTTTAGATGTGGACAGTGGGCCTCAGAACTGTCATAAAACCTGAAGAGCATCACTCAGAACCACTCCAGCTGGCCACAGTCATTTAAGAAGGGCTGCGTTGATAATGTAAGTACACTTTAATAATAAGTTTTTAAGAGACTAGAAGCTTACTGTCTACTACATAATACATGGCAATGACTGTTTGGGGAGAAGAAATAATTCACTGACTCCAACATCTGTTGGAGAAAATCCTGAAAGCTTTTTTGGAAATAGAGATACTAGTCATCTACCGTATATACTCAAGTATAAGCTGACCTGAATATCAGCGGAGGCACCTAATTTCATCCAAAAAACTGCATTAAAAATGTGCTGGAAAACTCAGCTTATACATGAGTACATACGCTATGTTGAAAATTCAAATGAAATGTGGGAACGAGATTCTTCTACTTAACACAAAACTAGACCTATTAATGAAGAAGGTCTAAAATGGACTGTTCGAAGAACTTCTGAATACTACAAAAGCAAACTAAATGTTGTTACTGTCTACTTGCAAAGCAATTTGATGATGTGTTCTTCCAGAGCTCTGGCGGAGCTGTCAGTGGCCCTTGAACAGACCAAACCTACCAGCTGCTCCACCCAAGAACGAGAAGGCGCTCTATGCCTCCAACGGGTGCCGGCCCCAGAACCCCAAAGCGGGGTTGCTACGAGTCAGAGTCAGCTCGGCAGCAGTGACCTCATAAAAATCCCGACAAATCACCAACGACGACGAAAGCCCCTCAATGTCAAGGTTAAAAGTCTTCACACAAAGAAAACTTACGGCTGTAGATTATTTCACTGGTGAATTGTCCCAAATATGGAAACACGAAATAATGCAAGTTAATGGAAGCAACACAGTGCGTTACTGGCAATCAATACCAGCAAAACAGATCAATGGGACAGAAGAGAGGGTCCAGAAAGAAATGCACACACGTGGGCAGCTAATTTATGACAAAAGTTCAAAAGCAATGCCATGAAGAAAGAATCAACTCTTCTACAGCAGGTGCTTGGAAACATGGAATTTAAGAAAATAACCATTGATCTGTTCTTCATATGCAAAAATAAATTTCAATAAGTCTACCTAAATAAATAAAACCTAAACTACAAAATGTCTACACAAAAACATAAGAGTAAAACCTTTGTGACTTTGGGCTAGGCAAGCTATGGTTTAAATATGATTCCCAAAGTGAAATCTATAAAATAACAAATTGGTAAATAAGACTTTATTAATATTAAGAAGATCTGCTTTCACAATGATTTTTTAAAAAGCCTTAAGCTAAAGACTGGCAAAAAATATTTGCTAAGCATCCATCTATCTGATCACTCACAAAGACCCTATAGGACAGGGTAGAACTGCCCTGTGGGTTTCCAAGACTCTACAGGAGTAGAGAGCCTCGCCTTTCTCCCCTGGAGCACACTGATGGTTTTGAACTGCTGACTTTGTGGTAAGAAGTCCAACGAGTAAGCACCACACCAGTAGGTCTCCTGTGAGCTGGAATCAACGCAGTGGCTAGGAGAAAAGGTATCTGACAAAGGAATGGCATCTAGAATATATATAAAACTCACAAAATTGAATAAGGAGCAAACAAACAATTCAGTAAAAAATGGACGATAGGAACAGATACTTCACCAAAAAAGATACACAGATATGCATATGAGAAGATGCTCCACCTCATTAGTCATCTGTTGCTGCTAACTGCCACTGGAGTCAGCTCTTCCTCCTGGCAACCTGTGTACAACTGAACAAAACACTCCCCGGTTCCGTGCCACTGCCGGCATGTTTGAGCCCACTGTTGCCTTCTAACCTAAGGGCTCAGCTCCAACATCACACTGACAAATACTCCACTATCATTCATAGGGTTTTCCCATTTCCTTAAGAAACGTTCAGAAGCAGATTGCTAAATCTTTCTTCCTAATCTGTCTTCCTCTGGCAGCTTTTCTGCCCCTGCTGCCCTGGGAAGAGCGGGTGGCTCAGCTTGCAGGACCACAGCAACATGCAGGCCGCCACCATACACCAAGTGACAGGCAAGCATTAGGGAAATACAACTTTTCATTAAAATCAACCCTCCCCCACACTATCATGATCCCAATTCTACCTGACAAATCCGGCTAGCCCGGAGCACGTACACTGGTACAGAGAAGAGCTGGAAACACAGGGTATCCAGGGTAGATAAACCCCTCAGGACCATTAAGGTAGCAGATGGACATTGGGCCTCCACTCAAGTACCCCTTCAATGCAAGAATGCTTTGTTCTATTAAACTGGCATTTCATGCTGCTCACCTTCCCAACACAATCGCTGAAGGCAAATGGGTGCATAAGCAAATGTGGTGAAGAAAGCTGATGGTGCCTGGCTATCAAAAGATACAGCGTCTGGGGTCTTAAAGGCTTGAAGGTAAACAAGTGGCCATCTAGCTCAGAAGCAACAAAGCCCACATGGAAGAAGCACACCAGCCTGTGCGATCACGAGGTGTCAAAGGGATCAGGTTATCAAGCATCATCAGAACAAAAAATCATAAAACTGTCAACAAGGGGGAGTGCGGAGTGGAGACCCAAAGCCCATCTGTAGGCAACTGGACATCCTCTTATGGAAGGCTCATGGGGAGGAGCAGAACCAGTCACAGTGCAGTATAGCAACGATGAAACATATAACGGTCTTCTAGTTCCTAAATGCTTCCCCATCTCCCCCCACCCACCCAACTATCATAATCCCAATTCTACCTTACAAATCCGGCTAGACCAGAGGATGTACACTGGTACAGATAGGAACTGGAAACACAGAGAATTCAGGATGGAAGATCCCTTCAGGACCAGTGATGAGAGTGGTGATACCGGGAGGGTAGAGGGAAGGTGGGGTGGAAATGGAGAACCGATCACAGGGATCTACATATAACCTCCTCCCTGGGGGACGGACAACAGAAAAGTTGGTGAAGGGAGACATTGGACAGTGTAAGACATGACAAAATAATAATAATTTATAAATTATCAAGGGTTCATGAGAGAGTAGGGAGTGGGGAGGGAGGGGGAAAATGAGGAGCTGATGCAGGGGCTTAAGTGGAGAGCAAATGTTTTGAGAATGATGAAGGCAATGAATGTACAAATGTGCTTCACACAATTGATGTATGTATGGATTGTGATAGAGTTGTATGAGCCCCTAATAAAATGATTTAAAAAAACACCAACAAACTCCTCAGGACCAATATTAAGAGTAGCAGTATCAGGAGGGAAGCAGGGAGGGAGTAACGGATCACATTGATCTATATATAACCCCCTCCCAGGGGGATGGACAACAAAGTGTGTGAAGGGAGACATCGGACAGTGTAAGACAAAATAATAATAATTTATAAATGATCAAGGGTTCATGAGGGAGTGGGGTGGGGAGGGTAAGAATGAGCTGATACCAAGAGCTCAAGCAGAAAGCAAATGTTTTCAGAATGATGATGGCAACATATGTACAAATGTGCTTGACGTAATGGATGAATGTATGGATTGTGATAAGAGCTGTACAAGCCCCCGATAAAATGATGGGAAAAAATTTAAATCAACTGTGGAGTAACTATTTGAATGGCTACAATTACAAAGACTGAGTATAGCTAGTGCTGAGAAGGACATGGACAAACAAGAACTCTCATAAAACTGATGACAGAATATAAAATGACGCAGCCATGGGAAATAGTTTTGACAGTAAGTTACTCCATTTACTATACAACCTCATCATTTCAACCCCTGGCAGTTAACAAAGAGAAGAGATCAGGGTCTTTACCCAGTGATTGTGAGTAACCCCCAGCCAGTTCAGGCAGGGTGCCACAAGCTGCTCCCCGAGTCAGAAGTCTACAATCGGGACTCCTTGGGGAGTTTGTGGCTTCACTCCCACACCTGGTCTATTGCCCTCCACGGGCCATCTAGCAGCAGAGCCACAAAGCCCACATGGAAGAGGCACGACCGGCTTGCGTGGTCATGAGGGGTTGACAGGAAGAAGACAAGCAATCAAATCGATGTGAAGGGGTGTTAGCATAGGGGAGACCCAAACCCACCTGTAAGATAATTGGACAGTCCCTCTCAGAAGGACCACATGGAAGAGATGATAAATCTAGGGTGCAGCATAGCACTGATGAAACCCACAACTATCCTGAAGTTCTCTAATCTTTCCTCCCCTTACTATTATGGTTTTTGTTTTACATCATTAATCATGTTAGATTTGCGTATGTTCATTTGGATATTTAAGATGTTCAGTACATGAAAGTCAAGACAGATAATCCTTCAAAAGCAGTAAAAGGAGTAATAGTTCCCTGGGGGTATGGGGAGAGGGAGGGGGCAAGAGGGAGCTGATAGCACTGATGACTGCATAACCCCATTCGATGGGATCGAACAACAGAATTGTACGTGAATAAATATATTGTATGTGTAAGATATGGCAAAAAAAAAAACTATTAATAGGGAAAAAGAAAAAAGGGCTCCTGGGGGGTAGGGTGGAGGAGGAGGGGATTAAGGGGAGCTGATATCAGGAGTTTATGAAGAAAGAAAACGTTCTAAAACGGACTGTGGTAGCACTTGTACAACACTGCTTGATGTGACTGTACCATGGAATGGAATGGTATCTGTCAGAGCTCCCAGTAAAATGATGGATTTAAATAAATAAGGCGTTGAAGGGCAAGGATACCACTTTGAAGACTAAGGTGTGCCTGACCCAAGCCGTGTATGTTCAGTGGCCTCACGTGCATGTGGAAGCTGGACAAGGAATAAACAACAAGCAGAACTGA